TTGTGCGCAAGGTGTAAAAGGGAAGTAAATGGAGACACGGAGAAACCAAAGACATGGCAGCATCCTCATCACCTTGCCTTCTTCCCAAACATTCAGCCTGGTAGAGGGCGAGGTACATCATTTTATAGAGGACCACCTTTTGAAAGGCAGTTCAGACCAGCAGATACTGGAAGAACATTTAGGCCGCAACCTCGCCGGCCAAATGTATGGCATTCATTCCAGTACAGCGCAGGAAGGGCAATACCCTTCGATGAGATGACTAGGACCCAACAAAGGCGTTTCCAGCGAAACTACGGACGGATGATGAGGCAGTAACAAGGAATGCCACATCCTAAAGCGCCTCTATTACTCAAGGTAGCCAATCAGAACGTCCTCAAAGGTAGTAAAGAGACTGGCACAGATGAATCAATGAAGGAACTGCCAGAAACCTCTTCTGGGAGGTCAAGGTTTGAGAGGGACAAAAAGGATAAAGAAGATCCAGATCAGCCCCTTGCTATCCAATTCGGTACGTTGCCTCCTGTCGTGGCCAATAATTACCTACTAGCTAATGAATTCAAGAATAAAGAAAAGGAAGAAGAGAGGGAGGACAACGAAGGAGAAGCCTGCATGCTGGTATGTAAAGAAGGCCAGACTTCGGGAGAGGCCTACAACGATGAAGAGGATGATGGGATGACAGACATTGAGGAAGAAATCAACCTAGAAGCAGAAAGGAAAAAGAGGGGAGTATCGCGCAACACTCTGTTTAAGCAACTACACCAAGAGGGAGTTCGCGAAGTAGACTTGTTGGGGGAGCCATCTGGGCATCCTTTCGACTTCTACGTACTATACGGGACACCCAAAAGGAAGAAGAGAGTACCTCGCTCTGAAAAGTATGGGTCACCTCCAAAGATAATGCCCCCTCCCACAGTTTGGATAACTGATGAGGAAGCATTAGAAAGAAGTAAGAAGGAAATTCGGGAGACACAGGATCAGCGTGACATACTACACGTCGACCTATCACAAGGGGATAATTCGACAGAAAACAAGCAAGAAGTAGAAATAGAGGCTGTCGAAAAGGTTGTTTTTAAACGGCCAGCCATGAAATTGACAAAATACCTGAGGCCATTATACGTTAAAGCTCTAGTTAATGGGGTTCCAGTGGCAAATGTGCTTGTCTCTAGTTAATGGGGTCCCAGTGGCAAAGGTGCTTGTCGATAATGGAGCGGCTATAAACACCATTCCATCCAGGATGATGAGAAAGTTCGCAAAGACAGAGGGTGATATGATTCCTACAAAAGTCATCCTTACTAGCTTCAATGGAGGAGCAACTTCAGCTAAGGGAGTTATGCCTTTAGACATAACTATAGGTACGACTACTAGGACCACTGTCTTCTTTGTAATAGACGGTCCTACTAGTTACAATGTGCTCCTAGGAAGAGATTGGATACACGGAAGCCGCTGTATACCCTCGTTGCTCCATCAATGCCTGATTTTCTGGAATGACAAAGGCGAAGCAGAGGTGGTACAGGCCGATCATAGGCCTTTTGTCGCGGAAGCAAACTCGGTGGAAAAGTTCATGTACGAAGGAAACTATGGACCTGTCAGAGTGGTACAAGACGGGGAAGAAACTCAGGTTGTCGCGCAAAGCGAAGAACCATTCTCAGTGGACGCACTCACTGAGATGTTCAAACAGATGAGGCCAAATATAGTGGCCCTGGAAGAGCCAGTGATTGGCAAAAGAATAATCAAGGAATCTTGAATGGATTCTGAGTTGCAAAAGCAAACGGCCGATATTCAGGCCTTCAAAGCCAGACTGATGGCTTTCAATAAGGAATGCAATGACAAAGCAAAGGAAGAGACTGCCCTAAAAGCGCTGAAGGACAAGTTGGCAGTATTCGAGTTAGAGCAAAGCCTTGGTCGAGAAGTCAACAAGGTGGACTGTTTGGAAGAGGAAGTACTTACAAAAGAACTGGACGACGAGGTGATGCGGATTGCCAAACCTGGATATGCTCAAGCGCAAGACCCTCTGATCAAAGTAAATATTGGCGATGAAGGAGAAGATCACCCAACGTTCATCAGCCAGACGCTCGACCAAGAGGTTAGTAACAAATTAATCGCTTTTTTAAAAGAGTACAAAGATTGTTTTGCTTGGAAATATGAACAAATGCCTGGTTTAGATAGAGACTTAGTGGAACATAGATTACCAACTAAGCCTAATTTTAAACCTCATAGGCAACCTCCTAGGCGTTTTGCTCCTAATGTACTCCCGGAAATTAAGAAAGAGATAGAGCGATTATTGAAAGCAGGTTATATAAGAACAGCCAGATGTGTTGAATGGTTGTCGAATATTGTGCCAGTACTAAAAAAGAATGGTAAACTAAGGGTGTGTATAGACTTTAGAAATCTAAACATAGCTACACCCAAAGATGAGTACCAATGCCCACGGTAGATTCTTTAGTAGATTCAACTGCCGGACATGTCATGTATTCTTTCATGGATGGGTACTCAGGATACAATCAAATCTATATAGCGGAAATTGGATGGTTCGTCCCTATATTAACCACTGTACAATCTCGTTCTAAATAACGTATTAAAAAAATTCTGTCTATCTAATCCAAGTTGGTATCCGAGCCATTACCTCTGATCCTTGAAATCTTGAATCAAAGCCCCTAAAAGCCTTCTCTTTAATCGTGAAGGATAAATAAAAATAGAGAGAATCATCCGCCATTTCCAACTGAAACAGACCCATTACAGCATCAATTTTTTTCAGACTTCACCAAATTCGGCTCTCTCTACACCACCACCGACCGACAATATAGTCACCATTGAAATTCAAAATTCTTCATAATCTATTTGTCCAGTGAATCATTATCATTGGAAATTTTTTCCCAGTCCCAAACCTAAAGTGGAAAGAAACCGGCCATGTGTCTTCTCATTAGACCACCATAAGACTGCTTATTTGTGTAGCATATCTCTTTTATAACAATTATGCAAGTCAAACAGGGAGAGGTGATACGATTTAAGGACAAGGACTGCGTGTCAGCAACTGGCTGGGGCTTAGCAACTAGTTGGTGCTTTTTTTTATTTTTTATTTTTCAAACTGTCCAATCGGTATTTGAACGTGTCCTTCTGTTTAAAAACCCTATCCCCAACCATGTTTGTGTAGCATATCTCTTTTATAAAAATTATGCTAGTCAAATAGTGGGAGGTGATAAGGTTTAGTGAAAGGGATTATGTGTCAGCAGCTAATTTGTGCTTTTTTTTTTCTTTTTTTTTTCAAACTGTCAAATCAATATTTAACATGTGTTCCCCTATCTAAAAACCCTGTCCCCAGCCTTGTTTGTCCAGCATATCTCTTTTATAACAGTTGTGCTAGTCAAATAGGGGGAGGTGATAGGATTTAGGGATGGGGACTGCGTGTCAGTAGCTAGTTGGTGCTTTTTTATTTTTTTCAAACTGTTCAATCAATATTTGACATGCGTCTCCTTGTTTAAAAACCCTGTCCCCGGCCCTATTTGTGTAGCATCTCTCTTTTTTAACAATTATGCTAGTTAAACAGGGAGAGGTGACAAGGTTGAGGAATAGGGATTGCGTGTCAGCAACTGGTTCATGCTTATTTATTTATTTTTTCTAACTGTCAAATCGATGTTTAACACATGTCCCCCTGTTTAAAAATCCTATCCCCCAACCCTGTTTGTGTAGCATATCTCTTCAATTATTCTAGTCAAGCAGGGGAAGATGACAGGATTTGGGGATAGAGACTGCGTGTTAGTAGCTAGTTGGTGTTTTTTTAATTTGTTTTTCAAACTGTCCAATCGATGTTTGACACGTGTCATTCTGTTTAAAAACCCTATCCCCAGCCTTGTTTGTCCACAACAATTTGTGTCTACCGCCAATGATACACCGATCCCAGTAATTGGGGAAGGATCTCTTACTAATACTTTAAATTTAGATTATGTTTTATTTGTTCCATGATTAGATTACAATCTTTTGTCAGTTTCTCAAATAACCTCATCTTTATCTTGCATTATAATTTTTTGTCCTGAATTTTGTGTTCTTAAGGACTTTTGAACAAGGCAGACGATTGGTTGTGGTATTAAGAGAGGGAAGTTGTACTATCTAGACTTGGTGTCATCAACTTCAAAAAGATTACAACATGTTTTGCTGTGGACACTTGTGAGGAAAAAAGGAAGAGATCGGAAATTTGGTTATGGCATTGACATTTAAGGCACACTTCATTTGGTTATTTAAAAAGGTTATTTTCTAGTTTATTTACAAAGACTATAACTTCTAGTTTTCAATGTGATGTTTGTGAACTAGTAAAAAGCCATCGTACTTCATTTCCTTTGCTATTAGATAAAAGTCCATTTCTTTTTATGGTTATACATTCTAATGTATGGGGACTGTCCAAAATTGCTACTTTGGGTAAATCACATTGGTTTGTTACTTTTATTGATGATTGTACTAGGATGACTTGGTTGTGTTTGATGAAAACCAACAGTGAGGTAAACCTATTTTTTCAAAAATTTCACAAAATGGCTCGTACTCAATACAACACACAGATTCGATTACTGCTAAGTGATAATGGATGAGAATACAAGAGTACCAAAATTTAATAGAAGCCCATGGAATTATTCATCAAACTACTTGTTCCAAAACACCCCAACAAAATAGGATATTTGAGCAAAAAAATCGATACTTGTTGAAGGTCGTACGTGCCTCATTGATCGAAGCTCATATGCCATTGAGTTATTGGAGAGAAGTCATTAATTCTGCAGCATATTTGATCAATTGTGTGCTTTCGAGTTCTATCAACTCTCAAACCTTCACAGAAGTAATCGTTGCACCAGCAGTCCCAAATTTACCCATCATGTCTTTGGTTATGTAGTATTTGTACACCTTTATAAAGATCAACGCAATAAGTTGACTCCTTGAGCGTTGCGATGTATCTTTGTAAGATATGCTACTCATAAAAAGGTTACGATTGCTATCACTCTCCAGCTTCAAGAATGTTTATCAGAATGGATGTTGTTTTCCAAGAAAATTCAATGTATTTTTCCTCTGAGCCAGAATTTTAGGGGAAGAATAGGAAGGAAATTCAGTCTCTTGCATATGAATATGAGCAAGGCAAATTCTCTATGGAAGATGAAGTCTCTGAAATTGATAAACAAAATGTTAGCAACTTGGATATGAATGTCTAAACTTGGATTCTAGTGGCAATGAGTCACAAACTGAAACGAACAATCAAGAAGTAGGTGCCTTAGATTTGAAGGGAATAAATCTAGATCCAAGTGGTGATGAACTCCTAGAAGCTGAAGTAATGGTTGTCCCTCAATCCGAGTATGAATTTGAAATACAAACAAGTGATACACCAAGCCAATCATTTGTTGAGGATGTTCTTGATTAAGTGCTTGCATCATCCAAGAAGTATTGTGTAAGCAGAGGTATTCCTAGACCTACATATGAACTCGAACTATCTAATAGAGTCAAGTATCCTCTGAGTCATTATGTGTCTAACCAGCATTTGTTAGACTCAAATCAGTCATTTATAAATCAATTATCTGTTTTATCTATTCCTAATAGTGTGCAGGAAGCCTTAGCTGACCTAAGGTAGAAAGTCGCTAAGAATGAAGAAATGAAATTTTTGTAGAAAAATCAAACCTGGGAACTTGTTAATCTCCCACCAAGAAAGAAAACGGTTGGATGTCAACTGATTTACACAATAAAGTATAAAGCAAATGGCATAATTGATCGTTTCAAAGAAAGACTCGTGGCGAAAGACTACACACAAATCTATGGGATTGATTATATAGAAACATTTACCCCTGTAGCTAAAATTAATACTGTTCGAGTTTTATTGTCTTTAGTTGCAAACTTTGATTGGCTATTATGATAGTTTAATGTGAAGAATGCTTTTTTACACGGTGAGGTATCAGAAGAAGTCTACATAGATCTCCCACCAGGATGTATGATGACAGTATGACACAATTATAAAGTATGCAAATTAAAAAAAAAATCATTATATGGGTTATAACAAACCCCAATAGGCAACAACGAAGGATTACTACACTCATCTTTTGTGTAGATGACATGGTAGTTATAAGAAATGATACGGAAGAAATGAAGGCGTTACAAGAGTACTTGTTCAGAGAGTTTGAAATAAAAGACCTAGGTCTTTTGAAGTATTTTCCGGAGATTGAAGTGTCTAGATCTAATAAAGGAAACTTTCTTTCTCGGAGAAAATATGCCTTAGATTTATTACATGAGACTAGAATGTTAGCATGTCAACTAGCTGATACACTAGTAGAAGAAGGGTTGAAGTTATGTATTGAAGTTGATCAGGTACCAGTTGACAAAGGGAAGTACCAGAGACTTGTGGGATGATTGATGTATTTGGCGCACAAAAGACCGGATCTTACCTTTGCACTAAGTATTGTGAGTTAGTTTATGCATAATCCAAGCGAGAAACACATGAGTGCAGTTATGCATATTTTGAGGTATATGAAATATGCTATAGGAAAAGGAATTTTGTTCTCTAAAAACATAGGGGAGCAAAGCATAGACATATATACCGATGCTGATTAGGTTGGAGCAAAAGATGATAGGTGGTCTACTTCTGGATACTTTACATTTGTGTGTGGAAATCTTGTTACATGGAGAAGCAAGAAGTAAAATGTTGTCGCTCGCTCAAGTGCAGAAGCAGAATATAGAGGAATAACACTCAAAATTTGCAAAGCGTTATGGCTAAGATTTCTCTTAGAAGATTTGGGCAATTCATCAAGACAATCAATTTGAATATATTGTGATAATAAAACAGCACATAATATAGCTCGTAACCCAGTACAACATGATTGAACAAAGCATGTTGAGATAGGCTGATTTTTCATCAAGGAAAAATTGGATAGAAAGATTGTGGAGTTGTCTAAGATCAAATCAGAAGATCAGTTAGCTGATATCTTTACCAAAGTAATTTTAGACAGAGTGTTCTCAAAAATTTTAGACAAGTTGGGCATGTGTGATGAGGGGGAATGATAAGATTTCTTGTAATTACCTGTCCATTCTTATATATTGCTAAGTGTGTACAAATCATAGATTGATAGTATTACCTAATTGTAGGAGATTGCATTGTCAAATTAAAGGAAACTAGTTGGAGGATTTATCCCTATATAAATCATTGTACAATCGCATTCTAAGTAATGAATAGAAATATTGCCACTTGGTTTTCTCTACCACTCTAAAGTCAACTTTTCATCTGATGCTACTCTATACGCCATCTGAAGTTACAACTCATCAAAATTCTCTCGATAACATCTCTTCTCCCTCAACTTTACTTTCACCTTCACCATTCACCCACTTATCTCCCAACATTTCCTCGATGCCACCTCCATCCCTTAATCTACCTGTGAACCATCCCCTAATACTCACTGCATGACCTGGCTAAGAACAATATCCACAACCTTTTATAAAAATGAACCTACATATCCAATTCTTCCCATTTCATATTATTGAACACACCACTATAGCCCAAACTCTAAAAGATCCTAGATAGCGTAGGTCTATGTCTAAGGAGTATGATGCTCTAGTTTGGAACGGAACATGGGAGCCAATTCCACCTAGTTCCAACATCTTGTTTGTTGTAAGTGATTTTTTGAACTCAACGTAAATTTGATAGCTCTGTTGACATATTCAAAGCTCACATGGAGGCTAAAGACATTTATCAATATCCTAGCATTTACCAAACCACTGACCATTATACATACGTTACGTAGCTTTTTATGGTACTTGTTAGCACTCTTCACGATGGATATCAACTATATCGTGATTCTTCTCTCAAATTATATGCCTTATCTAATGCTGATTGGGTAGGAAACAAACATGAATTTTACTCCAAGGGGTTGTTATATTGTTTTTCTTGGTTTAAATCATCTATCCTAGAGTCCTGAAGAGCATAACTCAATCCTCAATTGAAACTAAATATTATTTTGTTACCAATGTTGCTACCAAAATTGGATTTGCTATCACTTATTTGATCTTACCATTAATCTATCTTTTTTCCTCGTGATTCACTGTGATAACATTGGCGATAATCAGTCATGTTCTTAAAAAATTTTCCATTCAAGAGTGAAGTATGTTACCTTTGATTTTCATTTCAATTGAGACTAAGTTCAAAACAGTGCTCTATATGTTGCTCAGGTGTTCTCTGTTAATCAATTAGCTTATGCTTTGACGAAATTGCTTCATTGTGCTTTCTTATGCTTAAATTCAAGATTGGACTCTACTCTTGAGCCCAATCTTGAGGGGGCATAACAATGGATAGCCATCCTTCCATTCAAGAGTGAAGCATGTTTCCCTAGATTTTCATTTCAATTGGGATTAAGTTCAAAACATTGCTCTATATGTTGCTTAGGTGTTCGCTGTTAATCAATTAGCTAATGCGTTGACAAAATTGCTTCATTATGCTTTCTTATGCTTAAATTCAAGATTGGACTCTATTCTTGAGCCCAATCTTTAGGGAACATAACATTGGATAGCCATCCTCATCTAAGGATTGCTTAGCTGACTTTTTCCAGATGTCCTATTTACCGTATTTTGAATTTCAAGTTATTATCCCAACTATACAACTTAAACCTAGGAAATGAGTTATTACAAATATTGGATTTTAGAAACTTTCAATTATTGTATAAATACTCAATCACTGATCAATGCAAAATGTGAAAGATAATTTTCAATTCATCTTGCATAATGGGTTTAGGATAATCGCGGTGATGGAGTACTGGGCAATGAACCATGAGATGAGTTGGGGTCTAAGTGAATTGAAACAAGTCAATATGAGGGATATCATTTACCATATGGTCTTAGAATCTGCATATTTGACATTATCTAAGGTGTGGATGAGAGGGATCAAGTACCGCAAGGGACATATTTGTATTAGATAAGGGTGTCAAATAGTGTTATTGTTCCAAAGTGAGAGAATGGGCTTCAGTATAGTGAGGTTTAACGGGTAAGATTAGCTGTAGTTGAAAATAAAGATTCTCATACTGGGTTGTTAGCATAGATGCTTCAAAGTTGAATAATTTTTCAAGTTCTTCAAAGGTGATGAGACGTCTCTAGCTTGGTTACACATACTAGTTTTTATACTCATCATCGAGGCCATCTAGAATTTTATATATGAGGTCATCAACGTCAATTGGGGCTCTAAGAAAAACCAACGCATTAGTCATGCTTTTATATTTTGCAAAAACTCGATCACACTGCATGAACTTTGGTAATTTGTTTAAGTTGGCTTTTGCGGCCTTAAGAGGATGTGGTAGATTTAATGGTCCATGCTTGATGAGATGTTTTAGCTTGAATGAAGGGTATTATGGTGGGTAAAATCGAGCTAATGATGGCATTGAGGATTAGTTGATCCTGAAGGGTCCGCATGATGAGAGAACGACTTGGAAGTGTGCCATTTTAAGTGAGAGTGGGCGGTGGGGATGGTTTTGATCCATCAACACAACAAACTTGGTCATAGCCAATGAACAATCTAAAGTTATAACTTCCAAGATATGTAGTTGTTGGTTGTGAGTTTAAAAGGAGTCTGTGCTACCACATTGATGTTGATAAGGATATTGTGCGGTTTCATTAATGTAGTAAATCGTAGTCAAAGCTTGTGGAACCTCGATGAAAGTAGTGGAAGTGCAGTTATAGTCCGTTTGGTATTAATTTTGAGAAGTCAAAAAGAGCTTATGAGATTCAAAACCTCCTTTTGAACTCATTTATTTAATTTTATAAAAGTTTTTTTTTTCTAATTAGAAAGCATTTAGAGAAAGTTGGTTCAATATAGCTTTCTCTAAAGGTTTCAAACATTAATTAAGGTAAGTTTATTATGGTGGCCTTTTACAATAAGCAAAAGCAAAAAAACCTGCCAAACGAACATTAGTTATTAGGATGATTGGAAAATGAACATGAGTAAATCAGTTGGAGGAGAGACAAGAATTTAACATAATAAATTGGATGAGACAATTTTGATCAGCAAAGAAACGGAATGAGGGATGAAGCTGATCGACTACCTCTTTGGATAGAAAGCTCTGATACCTTGTAAAATTATGAATTGATAATTATCTTTCGCAATTTTCATTGACAAGTACTTAAGCATTTATATAAAAATTGAATCGTTCCCTTTGTAGTCTAAGTTGTACATTTAGGATAATAACTCTAAATTCAATATACAACAAATGCAACATTTGAAAAAAGTCAAACTAAGTGACCCCTAAAGTTAAAAATTATAAGTGTTGTGCTTTAGGTCCAATCAACTTCGTACATAAACACTTGTAACATATAATTGATACGTTTCATTTATGGCAGACCTATCATTTAATTGAATTAATAGTTTAATAAATTAAATAATATAATCCATAAATTCAAGTCTTGGTAATTTGTTAATCACAAAGAGTTGTGATTATAAGATACAAATTACATATGAAGGAATCTTACATCATCTGTAGTCGTAGGTAATAACGACATACGTTTATTGTTATTACGGATAAACAATCACGCATGGTATTTCTTACTTGTGAAGTAAGTAACTGATCTCACAAGCTAAAGTATATTGACACTTAAAGAACGTGGGAATATTTTGTTATAGAACAAAAAATTGGAGACCCCACTAAGAAATTTCACATGGATAACTATCTGAATATTAGTGGTTAATCTCTAACATTCAATAGTGAAATTGATCTTTCAACGTAAGGTTATCATAATGCCTTCTATGGGGACGGTCATACTTTGATGATGCTAGATGCTGCTCTGTCAAGAGTCGATGATACGACATTGTTCAGGTATGTCAAAAATCATATGAAGATTGTGAATGATCAATAGAGGATTTGTCACTAATAGATAGAAAGAGATTATGATCTATATTTCATTCAGTTAAATTGATAACGAAATATTTTGCCAAGATTTATTCATAAGTCGAAAAAAGTTTTCGACTTACACTATCTTATTAGTAAGACGAAAGACACAATTAATAATTAAGATTGACACTCTTTCATATCTCGTAACTGATCGAATCATATTGACCAATGGATTATAGTTTCACAGTAAACGCGCAAATTTGGTTTTATCATGCCACGTGATATTTTTCGTCACATGTATTGCTCTTACACATTGGTAAATATCAATCTGGGATGAGATGCACTCCACTCATCGTCAACTAAACGAGCATTAGAACGAGCGAGCGAGCGACTAAAATACTACGACTACAATACACGTCACGAGCAAAAGCAAAGATAAGCCGGATAAGCTTTTTTATGTCGAAAGTCTCAAAACTAGCCATCTTATTGTAGACAACTAATGCGAGCCTACTCAACTAATCTCATAAGTAAAAGTCTGTCTGCATCACA